CCTCCTGTTACTGCTGATGGCCTCTGAATCACACTGACGCGGCCTCCCCCCCCCCTGGCGGACATCGCCACTGGGGGGGGGGGAGAAGCGCAAAGAAGCACGAAGAAGTGGCCCCGCCCCCATGGGCGCCGTCTGCGCTCGACAAGCGAGGCCAGGCCACAGGCTCACTCCGAACCAGGGGGGGTGCCAACCTCCTCTTCGAAGCTTCGCCCATCCTCCACCACCACCCCCCTGGTGTCCCGCTTGCCCTGGGGGGCCCCGGTACCACGGGCGGTCACATGTGCAGTTCTTTGAGCGGATGAGGAGGGGAGGGCGGGAATCTTTATGAGCGTGGAAGGGGAGGGGAGGGAGGTGACAGCAGATGTGGCGGCGGGCAGTGGTTGTCAGATTGGGTTGCACGGGCGGCGGTGGAGGGACGCCGTTGGTCGGGACGCGGGCAGACGGGCGGGCGGGCAGGTGCGGGCAAGCGCCGGCAGGCGGCTAGTTGGCAACCTGTGCCTTCGAAGACTTCTCCTTGTCCCCATCCTCTACCCCCCCCCCGATTCCCGATCTCTATCGGTCAGCGGCACGGGTGAGGCAGGAAAAGGCAGGCCAGGGTGAGTGAGGGAAGGCAAGTCGGGAGGAGGGTTGGACGACTCTTCTGCGGCACTCCGGCCGCCCTGGGCCAGCTTAAGCAATGTGATGGCACGGTCGCTCTGGCACGGTGGGTGGACAATGCTTTCTTCGAAAGGCTTCTGACTGGTGGCCTTGGTATTCCAGGCCTGATTTGTGGTTGCTGGCAGGGCGCAGCGAGTGGCGGAGGGGAGGGTATTGGGAAGGACGGAGGTCGTTGGCCGAAACATAAATCGTGGCTCAAGCTACCCTTCATGCTGGCCGCGTTGTAGGGCAAGGTGAAAAGCACGGTGTTGGCGGGCCGGGCGCTGGACATCGCCCTCGCCGGGGGTTTTGGTGCACTCCCTGCCTCCTCCGCTACCGATGTAGTGAGAACCTCACACACTTGCCCCGCCTCCTCCGACCCCGAAGTGCAAAGGGAAGAGGTATAAGAGGCCATGTGAACATGAAAGGGCAGGAGGTCGTGAGCTCTGACAGGGCTGGCGCCGGGAACCCTTTGGTTTGGCGGTTCACCCCGAGCCTCGACGACCCGTTTCGGTGTTTTTTTGTGGTGTTCTTCGCGGGCTTAGCACCGTAGCCCTCTGTAGCAAGTGGCTGGGGGAGGGCGGCAGCGGCCGCGAGCTCCTGCTGAGGTTGGGGGGGCGCCGAGTGGGAGGAGGCAGAGACGCGTGTCGGAAGAGGGAAAATGGCTGAGAAAACACCCTGAACGCCCTGGAAAGAGTGCCCATCACAGTCACACTGCATCGCGTGTTCCACGACACGTTACAAAGCATGTGGTCCACGGCATTCCGAGCAGCCTCAACTTTGTTGTCGGTGACCACAGTCCTGTCGTCGGCTATTCCGATGACGATGATCGGGCCGAAGAGGATGGAGGTGGCTTGGACGCTGGAGATGTCCAGCTCGCCGCTGCACGTGATGCGAATCGTGGTTGCGCCTCAGAGGCTGCTGTCGGCGTCAGCGGCGGCGTTGGCACTGGCGTCGACGTCGGCGCTGGCGTCGGCGAGCGGTTCCGCAGCCTTCTCGGGCTCCGCCTCCGGCACGTCCTCGCCCGCGGCAGCGCCGTCCGCTGCTCCCCTGGGAGCTCTCGTTGGCACTGGCCCTGTAGGCGTACTCGCGGCGGGTGCAGCCGCTGCTCCCTCAGGAGCTCGCTGGTACTGACCCCGAAGGCGCAATCTCGGCGGCGCGGGCTGCGTCCTGGGGCTCCCTCGAGGGCGCGAAGTTATTCGCGCTTCGCGCTTCGCGGTCCTCGTTCCTTCTCCCCCTCCTCCTCGTCCTCCTATTCTCCCTTTGGGAGGGCGGCGCGAGAGCGCGAAGTTATTCGCGCTTCGCGAAGCGCGAAGCGCGAAGCGCGAAGTTGGGAGCCCTAGCGTCCTTGGGCTCGCTAGCCCAGTTCAGTTCGGCTTGGCACATGTGCCGCTGTAGCCGCTGTCGCCGCCGTCGGTTTCAAGGTGACCTCGAACCACTGTTTGGCTTCTTCCCCAAACCCAGTCGGGATGTGCCGAAGGTGTGCATGGCGTATAGAATGACTGTACGACGTGTTCGAATGACTGTACGACATCTGTGCCGATGGTTGGGATGAAGGGCGGCAGGATCAGCGGCTCGGGACCTGGCGCGAGCTCGTCACTGTCAGCCTCCCAGAGTCCAAGCTGGTTCAGCACGAGCTCACTCGCGGCAACATTCAGGGCGATAGGCGTGTGTTGGGTCCAGCGTCTGCGTGGCACTGAAGGGGCAACGATGGCATTCTGCTTGACCTGGATGACGATGTATTCCTTCTTCTGCTGATGGCCATTCTCCTCGAAGATGTGTTTCAAAGTGGCAATGTCGCGCATGGCCTGCCTGTGCGCGCGGCGTACCCCAACCGGGCTAAGCTGTCCGGACAGGTCTGGGCTTACGGGAGTTGGAGTTCATTTCGTGAGGCGAAAACGGCGAAAAAGGCGAAGAACCGCAGGTGCCCGAGGCTTTGGTCCGGGCGCCGGGTCCGCCATTTCGCGCCACGCCTAGGCGCCGCTCGTTCGCCTTGCGGCTGGGGCGGGCTCGGGCGAGGTGCCTCCTCATCGTCCTCCTTCTCCTCCTCTTCCTCCTCATCCATTCCTTTTCCTCATAAATAATTTCTGCCTGTCGCACCCCGAGGCCAGTTTTGGGGGCGGGCCGGGCGTTTCGCCTAAGACTTCATTGATGACCTTGAGCTTAAAATTTGGCAACAGCTTCACTGATGGAAACCTGGTGGTTTTCAAAATGTGGCTCTCGCCTTAGCGCCGCGCACATTCGTTTTAAACAGCTGCAAGGGCTTGACGGAGTGAGGGCGGATGGTTTTCAAAATGTGGCTCTCGCTTTAGCGCCGCGCACATTCATTAAAATTGCAAGAGGTTCACGGATTGAGGGCGGTTCCTTTTCAACATATGGCTCTCGCCTTAGCACCGTGCACATTTCTTCTAAGAGTTGCAAGAGTTTCACGGGTTCTTATGGTCAACGTACCAGAAATTGTGTTGAAAAGATCCAGGATTAGAAGAGTGCAACCGTTACGTTGATTCGCGGTGTTGAAGTCCCAGGGACGGCGTTTTGGCACGTCCAGGATCGTAAAGACACAACAGTCAGGTCCGTGGCGTCGGAGTCCCGAGAATAATGTTTTGGCATGCTTCAGGGTCTTGCAACGATTGCCGTCCAACGAGGTAGTTCCCTCAATGAAAATAAACCCTTTATAGGGGCCTATTGAAGAGGCAGTTTGGAGGGAGCGTTTATTCCAACATCGTTGATGACTCTTGGGTTTACACTGGTCCTCCTCCTCCTCCTCCTCCTCCTCGTCCTCCTCCTCATCTTGCTCCTCGTCCTCCTCCTCCCCATTTTCATCCTCCCCTTCATTCTCGCCTCCCCTCCTCGCCACGGGGGGGGGGAGGAATGTGGATTCAGAAGGTAGTTTCAGATAAGGATGGGGGAGGTGGATCGACACGCTGTGCGCTCTCCCCCGCGTTACGGCGCGATCTTCCCGGCCCCCCGCGGTGAATCCGCAATCCCCAACCCTCCCCACACCCCACCCCTCGCTGTCCCTCAGCCTCCCCCCCCATCGCTCCACCAACCCACCCCCTCCCGCGACGCTGACGGGGCCCAACATCGGCTTGACGCCTGGCCCCTTCCGCCCCCCCCCTTCCCAACCTGACACCCCCCTCTCGCTCTCCCCCTTCTATGTCCTCAGCGGTCCCACACACACACACACACACGCACACACACACACACACACACACACACACCGCGGCCTCCCCCCTCGGGGCAGCCGCTGTGGCTGGAGAAGGCGCGAGGCTGCCGAGGCGGCGCCGGGTGCCGACCTCCGCCCCGGGCGGGGGTGGGGCCGCGGCGATGTTCCAGCCGCAGCAGGCGCAGGCGGGCGAGGCCAGGGCCTCCTCGCCGCCGCCCCCCTCTCTGTCTCCTTTTTGTTTCTCTTTTTCTCTCTCTCTCTCTCTCTCTCTCTCTCTCTCTCTCCTTCTCTCTTTCTCGTTGTTTGTTTGTTCTTTCTCTCTCTCTTTCTCTCTCCCTCTCTCTTCGTCGTTCTCTACCTGTATGTACAGATATATACATATACATAGATCAATGGGTCAATCTAAAACGACTTGTTCCCCAAAGAGTGCTTGCACTTAGGGGCTCTCACTTCTGCTCTAGGGAACTGAGCCGGGTCTTCGGTCTGGCGGCCATGTGGCCGCCGTCGCCGCCCCGTCGGCGCCTCGTCGCCGCCCGTCGTCTGGGCCGTGTCTTCGGTCTGGCGGCTGCGTGGCCGCCGTCGCCGCCTCGTCGCCGCCTTAGGTCGCGCAACGTAGATTGCACTGCACAGATTACACCACAGAGATTGCATCGCATAGATTGCGCCACAGATCTTGCACCACACAGTTTGCGCAACAGAGATAGCACCGAATAAAGTGAACAGCCTACATTGCATCACATACATGCACCACAAATATTGCACCACATCTGTATTGCACAACATAGATTGAACAAGATAGATTGCAACACTTCGACTGCACCACCTAGCTTGCACAACACTGACTGAACCGAATATAATGCACCACATGGGCTGCATAAACTACACGACAGCATATAGAGTGCACAACATATGACTCACCCGATAGATTCTCCTTTCTAAAATAAGAATAGACTCTACCTCCCCCGGGAATTATCGATCCCCCATTTCACATTGCAATTTACATATGATTCTGCCCCATCGTTCATCCTACCTGTGAACTCATTCTATCCCAGCCAGGCCGGTATCGACCCCCCCCACACCATCCTCTTAAAAAAACTATGCGCGCACACTCGTTTATCAAAAATCATAAGTTTTCAAGAATCCCTTACAAAAAAGGGGCCGAAGTGCACGCGCGCGCGTCGTCGCGCGCGCATGCCGAATTCCTTCGAAAACTCGTGGTTTCGGCAGGAATTCAAAATTGAGTTTCCAAAAAAACATACAAAAACACAGGGTTCCGCAACACTGATGTTCTAAAAAAGCTTACACGTGCGCTCTTGCGAAATCTTAAAAGGGGGCTTCGCGCGCGCATGTCGAAATCGTTCGATCGTACGAAATAACATACAAAATAAAGGGTTTCGCAAAACGGATTTTCAACAAAAGCGTGCGCGCGCGCTCTTGTATCGTCGTCGTCGTCGTCGTCGTCGTCGCCGTCCTCCCTCCTCCTTCGTCGTCGTCGTCGCCATCGTCGTCCTCTGTCTTTCCTCGTCGTCGTCGTCGTCCTATTTGGCGTCGTCGTCGTTTCCGTCGTCGTTGTCGCATTGGTCGTCCTTCCTCCTCCCTCGTCGTCGTCGTCGTCGTCCGTCGTCGGCGTCTCGTCGTCGTCCCTCCTATTTCGTCGCCGTCGTCGTCGTCGTCGTCGTCGTCGTCGTCGTCGTCGTCGTCGTCTTCCCTCCTCCCTCATCGTTGTCGTCGTCGGCGTCGCCGTCCTCCCTCCTTCTTCGTCGTTCCAGTCGTCGCCGTCCTCCCTCCTCCCTCGTCATTGTCGTCGTTGTCGCCGTCGTCATCCTCCCTCCTCCCTCGTCGTCGTCGGCGTCGTCGGCGTCGGCGACGTCATCGTCGTCTTCGTCGTCGTCGTCGGCGTCGTCGTCGGCGTCGACGTCGTCGTCGTCGTCTTTCTCGTCGTCGGCGCCGTCGTCGCCGTCGTCGTTGTCGGCGTCGTCATCGTCGTCGTCGTCGGCGTCGTCGTCGTCGGTGTCGCTGTCGTCGTCGTCGTCGAAATCGTCGGAGACGTCGTCGGTGTCGTCGTAGTCGTCGGCGTAGTCGTCGTGGTCGTTGTCGCTGTCGTCGTCGGCGTCGCTGTCGTTGCCAAGTGCCATTTGGTACCCCCCGTCACAGTCTTAAGAAGTCTTGCGACCAAGTTGCGTGTGGGAGGGCGGGATGTTTGTACGAGCGGCGGGGAGGACAGCTTCAAGACAGTCACAGTGAATTTTCCTTTCTAAAAAGAGAATAGACTCTACCCCCCCCCAGACTTCTCGGCTCCCCCTGGGATAGTATGATTTCATATATATATATACATATATATATTCTGCACACTCGTCCATCCTAAATATGAAATCATACCATCCCAGCCAAACCGGTTTCCCCCCCTGAGGTTTTTTTTATAAATACAAAAAAAACAACAAAAAAAAAATGCGGTGACATTTTTTGTTCTAACATAACACTTTTTCGCGAATCCCTTGCAAAAATGAGACGAAGTGCACACGCGCGCGTCGTCGCGCGCACATGCCGAAATCCTTCAAAAACCTTCGGTGCCGGAAGGATTTCACAATCGAGTTTCCAATAAAACATTCAAAAGCACATGGTTTCGCAACACTGATTTGCTAGAAAAGCTTCCGCGCGAACTCTTGCGAAGTCTTAAGAAAACCATAGTTTTTTCAAGATTTGCACAAAATGCTACCAAACGGGCTTCGCGCGCGCGCATGTCGAAATCTGTCGAACGCCCTTGCGCGTGTGCCGTCGCGAGAATCCTCTGCCAAAAATGGGACGAAGTGCAGACGCGCGCGTCGTCGCGGGCGCACGCCGAAAACTTTCAAAACCCATCGGTTTCGGAAGGATTTCAAAATTGTGCGTCCAAAAAACCTACAAAAACCCAAGCTTTCGCAACACGGATTTTCAACAAAAGCGTGCGCGCGCGCTCTTGCGTCGTCGTCGTCGTCGTCGTCGCCGTCCTCCCTCCTACCGCGTCGTCGTCGTCGTCGCCTACGTCGTCCTCTGTCTTTTCTCGTGTTCGTCGTCGTCGTCCTCTTTGGCGTCGTGGTCGTTTCCGTCGTCGTTGTCGCTGTGGTCGTCCTTCCTCCTCCTCCCACGTCGTCGTCGTCGTCCGTCGTCGGCGTCTCGTCGTCGTCCCTCCTATTTCGTCGCCGTCGTCGTCGTCGTTGTCGTCGTCGTCGTCCCTCCTCCCTCGTCGTTGTCGTCGTCGGCGTCGCCGTCCTTCCGCCTTCGTCGTCGTTCGCGTCGTCGCCGTCCTCCCTCCTCCCTCGTCGTTGTCGTCGTTGTCGTCGTTGTCGCCGTCGTCGTTCTTCCTCCTCCCTCGTCGTCGCCTTCGTTGGCGTCGTCGTCTTCGTCGTCGTCGGCGTCGGCGTCGTGATCGTCGTCGAAGTCGTCGGAGACGTCGTCGGTGCCGTCCTAGTCGTTGTCGTCGGTGTCGTCGCAGTCGGTCTTAACAGGTTTTGTAAACCAAGTTGCGGGTGGGTAGGTGGGATGTTCGCGCGAGCAGTGGAGATGACGACTTCAAGTTCAGCAGAGTGGACTGCACCACATAGATTGCACCACATATATTGCGTTGCATAGATTGCGCGACATCGGTTGCACCATTTAGATTGCACCACAAAGCTTGCACAACATATATTGAGCCGCATCGATGGCACTGCATGGATTTCACAACATATTTGAGCAGTATAAAGCGCACGACATATGTTGCACCACACCTATCGCACAACATGTACTGCGCCACATCGACTGCACCACCCGTATGCTAGAAATACATTGTTTGAGGTCCTCGTTGGCAAACATATCAATGCAGAAACACAGATTAATACACTAGAGGAGGAGGAGGAGGAGGAGGAAGAAGAGGAGGGCCAATCAGAAGTGATAGCACGCTTTCGGGTGCTTGGAAACGTTTCTGACCGTTCAAGGGCCCCCGGGTTCTCTCCAGCAGCTGCGCCGCGCCGAGAGTGGTGCGGGGGTGTGCGAGTCGTCCCGAACGGGCGCTGGAGACCAGATATGCGGCTGAAAAACGAGACGCCCAAACTTGAGAAAATACTGTTTCTTTTTTCAAAAAGGAAAAAGTTTGGGGCCGTTTCCGTTTCAAACAACAAAAACAACAACGGCTGGCGTTTTCCTGAATTTTGACCCTTTGGAGGGCTGCTTTCGGGCCCCAGGGCCATCGATAAACCAGCCGCGGCAAGAAGCCGGTCTCTAGGGATGGTGTCGAAAGCTCCTGGGGTCCGCGGCGTGCAAAATGACGACGCCAGAGGTCTGGGACGCCTGGAGTTTTTCGGGTCCAGGAAGTTTTCCATGTGTTGCACCTCGTTGATAAGCCTCCAGGAAAGGCCAGGGTCGTCCCAAACGGCCGCCTGAGACCCGAGTCATGCAAGTTCGTATCGTGCAAGTGGTGCGAGTGGCTCAGCGACTTGTGCAAGGGTGGCGCGCATCGCACATGAAGCGCGTGCACGATGCTTCTTACTGTTGGTGATATCTCTTCGTCTCTACTATATCGGTCACTCGTTGTTTGAACACACACAAACTTGTGTTTATTTGAAGTGGCTGCGTCGAGGCTCAATTAGCGCAGGGGTGCCTCTTTGCAGTGTTTGGAATGTTTGAAGTTTCCGAGTTGAAAGATCATCTGAGGTTCTCGCCGTGGGAAACGGCACGTGCTCCATGATTGGGAAAACTGCACAAGAGTTAGGGCGGGGTGAGATTCGGGATGGTGCCCAGTCCTTGTTTGATTTCCAGCGATGCGTCGATTCGAACAAAGCTACGAAGACGTTGGTTGTTTGCAGGGAGGTGGCACATCGTTCCTTCCACGGGGACGTCCATACTTGGGCGGACCTCGTTCCACATGAGCACCGGCCCGATCTGGCGCCCCAGAGGGCCGCCGAACCCTCGTGTTCCACTCTCTCGCCTGTGCGAACAATTGGCCACGCCGGGAACTCATATCCGCACGCAGAGGAGTCGGGTGCGGGCTCGGTCTACGCAGGTGCACGTGGAGTTCCGGGCGGGCCAGTGCAAGTGGGACGGCCGCCTCGTCACGCCAGAAAAGTCGAAAGGCAAGGTTGCGCTCGTCACCACCGAGGAGGACGGATTGATGCATTTCCGATGGGCCAACCGCGAGAAGAACGACACGGCCCTTGATCTCATCGTGATCAACGACGCCTACTTTGAGAAGATCGAGAAGTGCAAGGACGGGCGTGTCTACGTCCTGCGCTTTACCTCCAGCGATAAGAAACTTATTTTCTGGATGCAGGAGCCAGATGAGAACAGCGACGTGGCGTTGATTAAGAAGTTCAACGATGCCGTCGGGGTCAATATCTTGGACTTCCCAGCTGCATGATCAATGATCTCGGCCACTGGAAAGATCGACGGCCGCGCGGTCGCAGATTGCACAATCGCTTGAGGTCGGTAACATAGTGGGCATTGTGCGGTCGCGCGAACAGCCTGGCCATCCCACCGAGCCCCTGACCAGATCGCACAGTATCAGTACCTTCCTCCGCCGCCTCTCCTTCCAAAGAAGAGGACGACGACGAGGAAGAGGAGGGCATCTTTGACGACGATGCCGAGGCCAAGATCCCAGAGAAGGGCAGCAGCGGCAGCGGCTCTGCGCCCGTTGCGGCAGCCACCGCCAGCTCCCCGGGCGCTCCCGCGGAGCCCAACCCCGAGTTGCAGGCCATCTTGCAGCAGTTCCTGCAGGCCCCAGCCCGGGCGTTTACCTCCCCGCTCCTCCTCCCGTCCTTTTCCGATCGTCAGGACACGATCGGGGACTCCACCCCAGCTCACAGTGGGGCCTGCTTTCTACCGTTCCACCGTGCCACAGGTGGGCAGCCAATGCATGGTCCCACCAAAGGGAGGTTGGCACCCACAAGCTACAGTCGGCCCAGATTAGTAAGTCGACCCTGCCAAATCAAGGGTACCCTTGTGTCCTGTGTCTCGCGACCAATGCTTCCGACATTCCTGTGGCAATGTGGCCCTCGGAAGGGTCTTGTGTCCTCTCGCGTGTCCTGTCCAATCGAGTCCAACTGTAGTCGTCTTCGCACGAGTCCTTCCCTTCTCCCCCCCCTCATCCAGGCACAGAGCGCGCCGCGGGCGCCGCCCGTGCCTTTGAGCGCCGTGCTCACCACGGAGGTGCTGCAGGGCCTGCTGGAGGACGAGGCCGCCGTGAAGGCGACAATCGGCAAATGCATTGCGCACGCTGCGTGCGCGTGGCTGCGCGGGTTGGATGTGCGACAGCACGTGTCGTTCATGGCCAGTATCGCGCGTGTCTGGCGCGATTGAACATGACATTCGTATTTGTGCGTCTGAGGTGTCAATCGGCCTGATGGCTAAGGTTTCTGTAATAGGAGGTGTAACGGCTTCGAGGCATTCAGAGTTGACGGTTTCGTGAACTGCGTTTCGGTAAACGCTCGTCGGCACTCGGTGAGTTCACGCGCGAAATGCACAGCACGGATACATAAGCGCCAGCTGAATATGCAGATTTGCGCGAACGGTCTTACATTGTCATTGGGTGCGTTGTTGGACTGGAGTTCTGTTGTGCGGATTTTCCGTCAGTTCTCACTCCTGAAGAGTAACTGTTGTTGATGATCCCCCTTGACATGTGCCCATCAGTTTGTCTCCGTTGAAGTGCCCCCATGTGCGAATTTCCCGTCTAGGGCTCCTGCCAGACCGAAAGCGACGGGAGCCGGAGCACTCACCAATACATAATAAGTATCGATTGGTGTTCGTCCCATCCGCCACCGTGCCTGGGTTGTGGGTCAGGGTTTTCAGGGATGCTTCTTTTGGTCTCTTCGGGGCGCTCTTGGGGGCCTCTCGGGGGCAGTTTTGGAGCCTCTTCCGAGCCTCTTGGCGGTCTATTGGGGGCCTCACGGGCGCCTCTTGGGGCCTCTTGGGGGCCTCTTGGGGCAAGCCACAGCGCACAGTGGAAAACTGAAAAATGCGCATACACAGGAAGCCGCACCACCTCACGCAGGAAAGCAGGGGCAAGCTGGCCAGCTCGAACGAGTCAAAACGGGCCTCGTTCGCTCCCACCCGCCCACCCGCAACAGAATAGCCATCGGTGCAATTGGGCTTAAGTCGTGCCTGTCCCCCTACAGGGGGATTTTCGACTAACGAAAAAAAAAATACCCCAAAAATTGTCCAAAAATAGTCTGGGGATTATTTTTTGAGTACTTTTTGACATCTTTGGGGCATTTTTGGTGTATGTTTTACTTTTCGTCGAAAATCCCCCTGTAGGGGGACAGGCCCGACTTAAAATTGGGCATGGAGGCTGACGCGCGCGCGCGCGTGCCCCCACCTCGAGAGAGAAGGGCCTCTCCCCCGCGCGTGGCCGCGCCTCGAGCGATTTCGGCGAGGGGGGGGCGTCCAGGTAGCACTCAGGAGGGTAAAAAACACACAGACACAAGTGATCGTCGATTCCCAGAAGTATAGAAAAATATGGGAAGTGGGGAGGAAGACAAAAACCTAGAAAATATAGGATAATATGGTGAATCCTTTCATTTGTGTGTATTTATTTGTGTGTCTCAGGGCCCCTTCAAGCACTCGGGGCCTGATTGAACATCAACATGCCGCTACGGCCGTGGCCAACTTTTCGTTGATTGGGCAAGCGAACCACATGCGGCGCGCCAGAACGTACCCCTTTTGTCATGAAAAATGGTGGCCGGTGTTGAAACTATAGCGACATCTCGCCACATCGCGCTGTTTGCGTTGCGCCACACTCCTGCCGCACAGGTTGCAACGTCGACGACAAAACGTCTACGCTGAAATGAAATCAACGGATTTGTATTGTTTCTTGGTGGGTGGGTTGGAAGGTCCCGCGTTGGCTCGCTATCAGGGCGTTTGGTGCCAGAGTCGGGCTACATACGTAATCCGAGTAAGGATTGGACTCCACGCGTAGGAGCCCAGGCGGCCACACATAGAAGGCCACTAGACAATGCGCATGCACACGACGCCAGAAGAGCTCACGCATAGGAAGAGGAGCAGGATGAGGTGGTGGTCAGAGGGTGGGCAGGACCCCACTCACAGGAGCCCACGCAGCAACGCAGGCGAGTCCATGCAACAACGTGCACGCACAGGAGGGGCACACGGACCCACGCATAGGAGCAGGACTTGCGAGTTCGAGCCCACGCACCGGAGGCCACGCAACGAGGCACAAGAGTCCATGCAACGCTGCGCACGCAGGCCGCAGGAGTCCACGCAGAGGCGCAGAGGTGCGCACGCGCGGGACTCCGCGCAGATGTCTTCCACGGGCGCCCGCGGTCGACCACGACAGACACGGCGTGAGATCCGCGCAGAGAAGCGCAAAGACGGGAGCCCACGCGAGCGGCCAACCGCGACAGACACGGCATGCGCAGAAGCCCACGCGCCCAGGGCCCGCCGCAGTCCGCGCGCCGACGGCCCACTTGGCAATGCAGGGCCAGTTCCTTGCAGCACAAGTTTGGAAGCTTGAGTCCAAGCACAGCATCGGGAACACGTACCTACAAAAATCTCTGTGCAATACCTATATATATGTAATATGATGTATACATATACACATATAGTTTTATATGTATAAAGAAATACATACATACATACATACATACATACATACATACATACATACATACATACATGCATACATGCATACATGCATACATGCATACATGCATACATGCATACATGCATACATGCATACATGCATACATGCATACATACATACATACGTACATACGTACATACATACACTCATACAGACAGACAGACAGACAGGTAGGCAGGCAGACAGACAGACAGGTAGGCAGGCAGACAGACAGACAGACAGACAGGCATGCATGCAAGTATGCATGCATATATACATGCATAGATATATATATATATATATATATATACATACATGCATGCACACATACATACATACATACATACATACATGCATGCATGCATGCATGCATACATACAGACATACACAGACATACAGACATACAGAGATACAGACATACAGACATACAGACATACAGACATACGTGTACACACACGGCAGGTTCGATGAGTGGCGACGCGGCGGCGACCCCACCGCGGGCATTCAAGGGTCAATGCCGACAGTGGCCCCGGATCAACCGATGTTAAACGATTTGCCGTTTCGCGAATTGCCAATCGCTCAGGGTTGAACCATCCACGCGATGTCAAAGACCAATGCCGAAGTCGTCACGACACGAATTTGCCGCTCATAGATTCAAGACGGGACCCATGCTTCTGGAATCGCGACCTTCGCCCACCATTTGGGAACCAAGGCTTTTGGGAGGAGAGCCTTTCGAGCGACCTGGGCCATTTGGGCGGGCCGTGGGACGGCTTCGGAGGGTTCACGACGGCCCAAGTGCGAGTATGTTGCTATGCGTTCGCACCCGACATGTTCGTACAGCGCAATTCCCATCGGAGCCACAGCGGCACTGCCACAGGACACTCGTTGACGCGCCAGTCACGCAACCATATCTCGCACGATCCGGTCAAATCGTATATCAAGCGAACCGTATGCATATCCCGCGTATGCTTCGATCCGACATAAACGGTGCCGTATTCACAAGGCCAGCTTATTTTACAAATGGCGCACATGGAGCTCGTACCCGCTCAGCGAATTCGCTCCACGCTCCCACCCTAGATATAGCATGTGCCATTGCACGGTCACGGCATCCTCATCAGAGTCGGTTGCGGCGAATTACCGCCACTCTTCTTCCTTTTGGAACCGTTTAGGCAGCCAAATGTTGAAGCAAAAGTATGCCAAGGTATTGGATCAGTTGTTCTCCCAGCCGTTGTGGAAGCCCTTGGGGGAACATTTGTGTGAGGACGATGGGGGAGGAGCAGGACAGGAGGATGATAAGGATAACGTGGAGGAGGATTAGGAGGAGGAGGAGGAGGACGACGACGAGGATAAGGACGAGGAGAATGCCCCTTGGGGGCCTCGGGGGCCTCCTGGGGGAGTCTTGGATGCCTTTGGGGGCCATCTGGCGCTAGCTTGGAGCCTCCTTGGGTCGTCCTCGGGCCATTTTGGCTGTCTTGGAAGACATTTTCGACTGCGTCGGAGGCCATGCAGAGCTGTCTTGACTCTCTTGGAGGCCAAGCCACACTGGGCCATCTTAGCCGTTTAAGGGGCTTTCTCACCGGGGGGGCATCTTGGGGCCGTCGTGGGGGCGTCTTGGGCCACACCTTGGGGTCCTCTCGGGCCTTCCTGGGGCCATCTTAGGACCGATTGGGAGGCCACCTTAGGGCGGGTTCGGACATATTGGAAGCAATCCTGAACCATCTTGGGGCCCTCATAGGCCGTCCTGGGGCCATTTCGAGGGGCCTCTTGGTTGCTTTTCGGGCCAACTTGAGAGCTTCTTGGGCTGGCTCGGGCCGTCGGACGGCCAGAACTGAGCAAACGCCAAAATCTTTCAAAGTCCGAAGGAAAATCAAGCATGGTTGCGTTTTCGGGTCTTCCTGAAGATCTTATTAAAGACCTCCTGGGCCGCATTTGAAGCCTCATCGGAACCTCTTTGGCCGTCTTGGGCCATCCGTGAGAACATCCTCGGGGCCACTCAGCCGCCCAGCCATCCTAGAGCCCATCCATGGGCCGTCTTGAGCCATCCAGGTGCCGTCTTGAGCCATCTCGGATTGTCTTGCTGGCATCTCTGACGTTGTGGAGGCGTTTTGCAGGCCACCTTGGGCCATTTCAACCGTGTTGGAGACTGTCATGGACTGCCTTGGAGCAGTTTTGTGCCCGTCTCGGAGGCTTCTTGGGTCGTCAGTGTACCAAACCTGTAGTGAAATCGATGATCTAGTTGTTCGACGACTCCGTTTTCGACGTTCCGACCTGTAGCGCCCCCCGGCCCTCCAGACTGAACGGGTCGGGGGAGTGGTAAACCCTTCCCCGAAGGGGGGACATGTGAAAGAAGCAACGCTCTACACCACTCACGCCTAGAAGGACGGTTGGGATTCCCTTTAGGTGTTTGGAGGCGTTTAGCCGTCTCGGGGTGTCCTGAAGGGTTTCGACAGCACATGGAACCGTATTGTAAATTTCGCCGGGCTTTTGGGGAGCATGTCCGAAGCTACATTGAGCTGCCTTGGCGGTCATCTTGGAGCTTCGGAGGCATTGTTGCAACAATCTCGGGCCATTCCGGACATTCCGACCCCTCGCAGCCCGTTGAAGAAAAAACGTC